CCAACATGTCTCAAGTATAGGATGGCTTGCATCACTTCTTGAGGACACTAAGATAATTAAAGAGAGAGCAGGGATTTAATAAATGTTGGCACTCTTCTGCAGTTGATACAGTGACCAATCTTCAGACTGATCCCCTACAATATGGCGGCTTTGACAGCTCATGATTATAGCTGGATATGTGAAATAAGAAGATAGTATAACATTAATCTGGCTGAATAACAGCAGTGTGTCACCAAGCAAGCCAACTAAGCCTGGGAGGATCTGAAAGCAACCCACAGGCACACCTCCTTAAGCTCCCGAAGATGCGCAATGCACTGCTCATGTCTATAAGCTGCTGCGGGTTGTGGAGGCCAGCTTCACACAAAATCTCCCAACGTCACCTTTTTTAACTAAAAATCACTTTATCCTTTCAACCAATTTGCCTGAAATTTAAATGCAGCGCTGTCATGGTAATCCATTTATTGAAAAGCCTCGTTCTCATCTTCTCTAAATAAATGCTTTTGACCAAGTAGCACTGACAGTTAATGAAAGGTCAAGCCCTTTCTGTCCATTCAATATATTCTGAGTAGCTCTGGTTGCTCCATTACCTCTTAACAGGCGTCACAAACACACCTGAAGCACCATCTCTCTCCTCTACTATTACGCGTCTTCCTTCATCCATGGCCCCCATCAACCTGTTCAGTCTGTTACAAATTACCAAACAAATGAACCCTCTCACTGGAGACAAATGAGGAAAAATAGTCTTTGAAGAGAACCATTTATCCAAATCTTACTTGACAGGGTGGAATCTCTGATCCCATTTCTCTTGTTGAGTACATATAGGAAAAAAGGAAATCAGGCAAAAAGAAGGGGAATCACATCAGGCTTTCAAATGACATGTTACCTGATATCTTTGCCAGGTGAGCTCATGTATCCATACTAAAGAATCCTGGGAGATTAAAAGGAGAGATGCTATCACATAAACCTCACAATAGACGAATGCTTCAAGTCAAAGCAATCTTAGCCTTCACATCGTTGGGCTGCTCATCTCCTCTTTGTATGGTCAATCTTACTCTCAGCCAGGCTGTTTTATTTGTTGCACCAATCTTTGTGCGTCCAGGTTTTATACAAGCCCCTCTTTGCCAGTTTGCTGTAAAAGAATAATTCTACATCTCTTTTTTCAAAAACCTCTGCTGTAGGTGATTGGTTTGTGAGCAGATGAAATGTTAATTGTTGTCCTTGGAGAGAAAACGACAATGAGTATGCACTGGCCTGAACTCTAATTCTGCCTCTTACTCATAAGTCTGACTCTGGGTTAAGATGAAGAGGAGAAAGTTATTTTTGCAGATTTTACACAAATGCAATTCTTCAAAAGTTAACCTCCCCTGAGTTTACCTCCATCCCTTCACAAGTGCATCCCTGCTGAGCCGCCACGAAGCCCACTGCCACTTTAAGGTCATTTCCCTCATGTCTAATTTTACCCATGGGTACGCTCGAGTAGAGCGTATGAGAGCAGCCATCATTTTAAACACTTGTTTCAGGCGCTATTTCTTTCTCAGTTTATGTGCCTTCATTCTGAGGTGATGGAGTGCTAATGAACTGACAGGCAGATGCAATTTGCTGAGGTCCTTATGACGCCGTCTTGAAGGCCTTGTGGCGAGCACATTACTTTTCCTGAGCAAAAGCAGGTCAGGATGCTCTCCTAAGCTCAGGTAACAAATGAGATACGTCACAAGGTGATCTAGTGAACTGTTGAAGATCCCATTTGATGTCTGTTTGACAGTGACTGCTGACATTAGCTGTGAACTAATACGCTAAAATAAGTGCTTGTCATTTCAGACAAAAAAATGATTATCAATACCTGCCTTATTGCAGTGGTAAATATTGATTACTATTCAGCCATCTTTGTTAAGATTTGAGTTGAATGTTTTCCAGAAAGAAGCATGAATTATTGCATAGTTACTTTTTCCTTTATTTATCATTTTTCTTACCTTGCCAGCAAAAAAATAAACATTTTTGGTCAGTTGATTGAGAGTTTAAAGCCTTTGTGTGAATGCAGCCTGTGGGGAGCCAATCAACAGATCCAGGCAGGAGGAAATAACAAAGCCCAGAGCTGGAGGTGTTAGATCATACAGGGGAAAATGGCACACAGTGGTACTTCAGTCACATGGTTCACCCCAGAACCTCAACCTGCTACATCGAGGTGAAGTTTCTAAACTTTTTCGGCTCTGTCTTACCACAGGAGCCACGAACACCTCATCCAATTTGCAGATAGAGCTTTTTTCTTCCATCCATGTTATCCTTATTATAACCTTTTGACTCAAAGAGGATTGATAGTAAATATGAAAATAACCATAAATGTCCGCGCAAAAACATGCTGGGGACGAGTCAACCAGTGGTTTTCGCCCACAAGCCGAGGGCATTCTTCACACCTGTCTGCAAGGATAAGTGGGCTTGTCACAAGCAGAGCTAATCTGTTGCAACGCTCAGTCACACTCAATCCTCTAGTGGAACTCTACGCTTGTCCTTGAATGTCTGCTGGCACTGGAAGCATACTTGGGCTGTTGATCAGTCCAACCGTGGAGGAAAACATGTCAATGAAGAGCAGCAGCATCACCTCTCCTGACAGACACTGTAGAGGACTTTTGCCCTTTACAGTTTACACTTATAATGGCCTTTAGTCTTACATGGACAAGATTACGTATAAACAGAGATGTTTGCAATCTATGCTGGTAATTAGCTAGTATTTCCCCATTCACAGCAGTGCCTGTCTAAACACTGAGCTGTCAGTCATGAAGATGGAAAAATATAATTAAAACAGTAAATAAAACCCTCATGAATTAATAAGACACAAGAGGGGAGGAAATGAAGAATAAGACAGTACTGTACTATGACTGGAATTGCAAATTCTTAACCTTATACTGTAAAATAGGACAAGAAGAACAGCACATTTCTAATGAATTCAACACGAAAAAATACTGAAAAAAGTGACATCTTTCTCACTTGAGTCAAATAAATACTGTAGTTACTATGAATGTCATTAGCTTCTGTTCCTGTGATTTAGAGCACAACTTCTTCTGAATGGTGGCCTAACTCGTCACAAACACAGTGAAGTGCAAATCATGATGAAATCACTAGTTTAAATTAATGCAATGTTGTGGAAAACTGAAAATTCTTGAGATCTAGTTTAAAATACTGAAAACATGAAGTTGGTTTTAGACACATAGAGCATAAAAAACTGAATCGTGTTTGTATTTTAGATTTGAACCCAAGAAGCAGATCATAAATTCATCCCATTAAAACTATCCATAGATTTGTGCCAGTAGAATTTTGGAAAGGATCGAGTTTAGTTGTAAAGCAAACACTTAACATATTTGTTTTAAGGTTTGAAACTAATAAAAATATCAACAAGTGAAGTAATCTTGCAATGACCAGTCTGAAAGTCAGTCATATTAAGTAGGGAGAGGCCCATTACTTTAAAATATGGGATTCCCTATGCCACAGCACATTACAGCCTCCCTCTGTATAAAGATTATAGAAGTGTGTGTAGAACGTACTGTGCTGTGCCAGTACCTGCATATCTACATATGTATTTTTTAACTATCTTATTTAAGGACATTGATACTTTACCTAATTGGGTGGTAAACATCCAGACATCAATATGTCCTCAATCCAACAAACCTCAGTTAGTTTTTTTCCTTAAATTAAAAGTAACCAAACACTTCTCATTTCCTACTCTTACATGTTTCAATGCTTGGATTTAAAGAATTGCAACAAAGAAGGCATAGATAGAAAGCATGAATAGTCCAAAAAACAGAACAATGAATCTGCCAAGAGGACTGCAAACAGTGATCTGATGCGTTTTCAGAATGTGCTCGGTTAAAAGGCCACATTTTGTAAACAGAAGAAGGTACAACCTTAGCAAAATATGCTGATTCGACTGAAGAATTGTTTCTTTTAGAGACAGTTACCATGGATAACTGTGTGAGACATTCACGATGCTCGATTATATCGTGAATAAAAGAAATGTGTCCATCCTATTCATGACTGTGGTATAAAACATGTAATGAGCTAATATAATAAGTTTTAAACTGGGTTCTTCTATGAATCATTCACACATTATTTGTCTTGTCAGCTTTGCTTGTGGAGATAGCAGATCCCTCTCTCCTCCTTTTTTTGCAGTCTTGTTGTATTTTTCTTTTTTTAACCCGGCTTTCCCATCAAGTAAATGTTTTCCAGTTATATCCAGAATTAGATCTGTGCAGTGTGAAGGGTGTGGAGGAGTGCCTACTGATTTAAAATCTGGAAACTGACACCTAGCTTTATCGGGATGGAGGCATAGGTTGATGAACTACTCGTTATGTGTGCTGCAGCTTCTTCTGGGTGGCAATTATTGCTTTATAGAATTAATAAGAGTCTGCATTTTACTACTGTCTTTGTTTGTGTGTATGGTTTCTTGGCCAAAGTTATTTGGTTCTTTTGTTTTTTCCATTCATTCTTTTTTCTTTGGGAATCTTTTTTTAATGTACACAGGTTTTCCAGTTTTGTGGTGCATTTCTGTTAAATTTGCATAGTCAGTTTTAGATTATTTTTTTTGACAGCCGATACAAGAATTTAGAGTTTTTTCAGGAGAATTCTCATGAGGTGTCATCAGTAGACCATTTTGACAGTTTTGGCTGTCACTCAAGTGGGCTTCTCACACATCTAAAAATTAAATTCTATTCAGTGTTATATGATTTACCCGAGAAAGAATTTTACAGGGATCTTCATCATTGTGTGCAATTTCATTCTGTATCATTAATGTACATTGTGCATTGTTGTCTCCCCATTGTATAACTGCATGTTCCTCCATTTGGAAAGAATCATGTCTACATCTTCATGATGTCTGAAGTATAATCTAATCTTGATAATATGACCTGCACATGCAGTTTGAAATATTGATTAATTTACTGTTGTAAAGGTGTTAGATGTTAAAGGATAGTGAGTTTGATATGGTAATCATATCTCTGTCTTCCTTGCAGCCAATCCCACAGGTTCTGGGCCGAAGGGTCACCCAGGCACATCAGAGGTCTTCCGGGAGTCCAGCAGCACTACGGGGATGGTGGTTGGCATCGTAGCAGCAGCTGCTCTGTGTATTTTAATCTTGCTTTATGCAATGTACAAATATCGAAACAGAGATGAAGGTTCGTACCACGTAGATGAGAGCCGCAACTACATCAGCAACTCAGCACAATCCAATGGCACTATAGTCAAAGAGAAACCTGTCAACACCACAAAGACCTCAAACAAGAACAAGAACAATAAGGATAAGGAGTACTATGTGTGATTGTCAAAGCTTTGGTCTTCACTAGACCACTTGAACATCAATCAAAAAGACAAATCAGGACATCAACATATGTACAGTGTAATAACAAAGATGAACGATATTTAGTCATTTTCCAACTATTCAAAACTCTGCAAACGTCAAGAAAAAAGGAAAAGAAGAACCACTCTCAAGACTAAAGACTGAAAGGATGCAATGTATACGAGACAAGAGACAAATGGGAAAATGGATATGGTGAACACTTGAAAATAGACCAGATACATATCTAACATGTCGCTCCAACAACATTAACCCGTTGTGACTAGTTCCTTGGCCATGATGATGCGATCTAACTCCATTGTTTCTGGTAAACAGAGGAACATAGATGCACTTTGCAAATGGAGGTTCAGCATTACAAAGTTGACATTTGCATTTACATTGCCTGTGTTTGTCTTGTTGAGACTTTTTCCGGAGAAAATGGCACAAACCATAGATAAATACTTACACACATCCGCCAAACATGTACTGTGGATGAAAAGGAAGATAATAAGCAGGCGACAGTGAAACCAAGGATTCAGAAAACAGCCAAAGTATTCACTGAGAGGCAGTGATGTCCGGCAAAGACTAACACCTGGTTGGCTGTGCTCCTGCAGTGCAAAGATTAGAATGGATGGCAGTCTCTCAAAGACTTTGATTTTAAAAGAATATGTCAATTGTGCCAGAAAGAATTGAGGAGGCCTTTGTTTTCACATTGTGTGATCTCTAAGGAGGAGGTTTCCTCAGAATCCTCTCAATAAGCGGAGCCATGCACGCAAAATTATCTTATTACAGTACCTATGTTTATATACAGTACAACCACATCTATATGTGCTTTCTGGACTGTGACAAAGTGGTGTTTTATAGCCTGTTGTATAGATGATGCAAACTATAACTTCTCCTCTACCATTTTGGAATAAAATTTCAAAAGACAAAAAGAAGATGTAAGTGTTGATAAGTGTTGCTAGACATAGAAGATTTTATGAGGACATGCTTTTTTCAGTTGGACGATAATTTGACCCCTCTTTCCCTGTTTTTACATGTGTTCCTATATAGTTTTTATACAAATGCCAAGCTGAGATAGATAATCCTGGACCAGTAATAGCCTATCCATTCCCAAAAACTACATAAGGCATTGACAGTGGAGACATGTGTCTTCACAACTTGTGTGGCTCTCTTTTAAGAATCACTGCCTTCCTCCTCAATCCTGACTTAAATGAGAGAGAATGAAGACCAACGAGATAAGTGATAATGGATGAAGACAATGATTAGAATAAATTAACCTGCTGTATGTGTTTTTTCCAAGTGGTATTATTAAGACTGTCCAAATGTGTGCTTGGGCTGTCACAAAATCCCAGGGGGGATTAGCTCAAGTAAGTCTCCATTTCAACTGTTCTGTGTTTGTTCTGTCATTCTGTCCATCAATTCTGCTTTCCACAGACCTGTACTTGGAATGACTATGAGGAAAAATGACCATGAACTATAAATGGTGATTATAAATTATCTTTGTTTGCTCCTCTTGTTTCCTTTGGGGTGTTTTCTTTGCAACTGTATTTTTTCTTGTACTCCACATAAGTAAGTCCTTATAAAAACTAGTTTTGAAAAATCTTAAGAATAAAATATTACATAAATGAACTTAGTGAACTTAGTTTGCAAGTATTACCATTTATCAGTGTTCTACAATGACATGCTTCTGCCTGAAAATGGGCCATGGGACTGAGGTCTAATACCCACAATACAACTCAGTCTACAAACTGAACCTCAGGTGAGTGGTGTGTATTAAGTCATAGCTAATGAAGGTTCCAATTGAAACAATCAAGTGAAGTTGCTTTACTGGCTACGTCATCTGATCACTTCAGCTGAATGTAACATTTTTCAGTGTTTCTTTTTTCTTAATTTATTCCAAAACAAAACTTCGAATGGCATGTCCTGACATTCATCAAATATAAAAGCATTGATATAGAGAAAAAAAAGAAAAAACATTACGCCAATTGCTTTTCAGTTTGAAATGTTGCTCTATTGGCTTGTAAGATGATTCTGATGGTTTAATCACCTACACTGTATTTCTTCTAGGTTTTTCTTTGTGGCTCATGGTCATTCATTTTCTTGTTATAGTTCCTCAGTGATGAGAAAATAAATTTCACTTATACAGTGTTAAAAGATTCACTTTCCCAGCACTGCTGTGAGGGAGAAGTGTAATATGTGCAGAGATCATTTATATCAAAGTTTATATATGGCAGAATACCACGCAAAAGAAACATTTTCTTCATTAAATTTTTGAATCAGTGGCAGCATTTTCTTAAAGAACAAAAATGTCATCATTTTCAAGTTAATTTGTTGGTGTTGTTAAAAGACATTTTAAGAAAAGTATACCAGGGTTAACCCCCCTCTTGTCTATAAGAATAAAGTCTGAGTAGCTCTTATTTGGCTTTGAATTAAGGTCATATACTCACAGCCCAAAGACCCCTTATGATCAAATGAACCTAGTGCTCCCTCGGCTGGATACGGGCCACCAGGGCGCCATTCTGGAGCAAGGCCTGGAGGTGGAGCACGTTGGCGAGCGCCTGGTGGCCGGGCTTTCACCCATACAGCCCCGGCCAGGCCCAGCCTTAAGAGGCAACATGGGTACCCCTTCCGATTCGACCATGTCCCTTTGGGGGATCCTCTGGGGTGTGCTCCAGAAGTATGGGAAACCAGTCCCTTTGTTACAGGATGTTAGGTCTCTGTATGACCAGAGATCAGAGGTTGGTCCGTATCAGCGGTAGTAAGTCGAACTCGTTTCCAGTGAGGGTTGGACTCTGCCAAGGCTGCCCTTTGTCTCCAATTCTTTTAATAACTTTTATGGACCAGAAAAGGGTCCCTCCTCCGGGTCAGGGCAGATGTCCATCTCCAAGTGGAGAAATTCAAGTACCTCAGCATCTTGTTTGCAAATGGGGGTAAAATGGAGCGGGAGATTGACAGGCAGATCGGCGCAGCGGCGGCAGTAATGGGGGCACTGTACCGGTCTGTCGTGATGAAGAGAGAGCAGAGCTTAACAGTAAAGCTCTCGATTTATTGGTTGATCTAGATTCCTACCCTCATCTATGATCACCAACTTTCGGTAGTGACCAAAAGAACGAGATTGTGGATACAAGCGGCTGACATGGGTATGTTCCGCTGGGTGGCTGAGCTCTCCCTTAGAGATAGGGTGAGGAGCTTGGCCATCCGGGAGGGGCTCAGAGTAGAACCACTGTTCCTCCATGTTGAGAGAAGCCAGTTGAGGTTGCTCAGGCATCTGACTAGGATGCCTTCTGGTCGCCTCCCTGGTGAGGTGATCCGGACACGTCCCACTGGCAGGAGGCGCAGAGGAAGACCCAGGACACGCTGGAGGGTCTATGTGTCTCGGCTGGCCTGGGAACGCCTTGGGGTCCCCCCAGAGGAGCTGGCAGAAGTGGCCGGGGAGAGGGAAGTCTGAGTTTCCCTGCTCCAGATGCTGCCCCTGTGACCCAACCCCTAATATGTGGTGGACATTGGATGGATGGATACTCATAGAAGATAGTGAAAATCTGTTGATAGTCCAACCTATGATCCCATGCAGTACTTGACACCAAAGCCTAGTTTGACACCTTTCTAAACTAAAAATCTGTATATACAGCACCGTTCTATAAATGCCTGCCCCACTACTTTAACAGCCGACTGAACAGGAATTAAATCACAAATGTGAGTGTATGAACACCGCTGAAACTCTTACAGAAATATATAATTTGCGACAGTCTGCCTTTATGTTATAGTTCTTGATCAGCATTCCTTACTCTGATATGATTGATGGCATTGTGTGAAATGCGAACCTCTCCACATAAAAATCTCTTATTCCACTTGGCTGAGCTTCGCTCAAGGACAATACAAGGGCCAACAAAATACTATAACTGAATATAACACTGTAATAAACAGCGTGAAAAATGACTTAGAATTGGTGCAATTCCATTACTTGCATAATATAATAAGGAAACAGCAAAAAAGTCATGCTGAAAGGAATGTTGTTCTGTCCACCACAAATACTTTTGAAACTGCAGTGCAATGTTAAACTCATGCTTTAAGACCGAAAAATGAAAGTGAGTTATTTTGTCACTGCATGATCTATTAATCTATGAAGATAATTTTAAGATGCCAATATGATACCCATAACCCTCTCTCCAAGGATTGTTGTCCCAGATTTAGCTTCCCAACACCATTCACTTTTAAACCTCCTATATTTTCTTATTCATGTTTCTGCTTTGTGCTGTTTTGATCTGCAAAGGACAGCAATAAGCTGTCTTGTGAGGATGCCGCTGTGCTTGCCTATCCACCTTCGGAACAACCAAGTATACATGCCATTCCATGCTGGGCTCACTTGTTCCATAAACATTTTTGCTTTCAGGGTTTGATCTTGACCTTCAAAGGTAATTGAATCCTCGAAGCAATGGCAACTCTAAGAGTCTGAACCCTCCCCAGTTTACATGAAACTCAATATATGCAACAGTACCTTGCATGTGACATGATTGAAAACCATTTTGTCCATTATTGTCAGACCTTACGGATGAGATGGTCCTCTAAGATCCTATCAATGTCTTTTGTGGGTTCACGTAAAATGTCCATTAGATCCTACTCTGTCAGAATATTTCTTTGACTAAGGACTGACATCCTTTGGAGTACAGTCTGCTTCATATGAACAGAAATGCTTTTGTAACAGCAGTGTATATTCTGGTCCATGCAACATAAGAGCTATCTGATTAGAGAGTTGGAAAGGAAAAGGATGCTGAGATGTTTAACTTTACGTACTCTTGCTTTTACTCTCTTGTGCTGTCACGGTTTGTTGCTTCTGACACCTTTAATATGGTTTCCAGGTCTTCCTCTGGATAAATTCACTGTCAAGGTGGTTAGTTGACCATTTTCCTTGATAACCTGCATTGCCACAGTTTTGTTCTTCCACTTCTATGTTTAGTCAGCCCTCTCAGTGTTACTGACCCATG